ACGAATGTTAACCTTCTTAATTATAAAAAAACAGTAGAACAATATAAAGATAGAATTTGAAGAAGTGAATTTTGAAGATAAAGACTATTTTTTTATAAATTTATTCTAGTATATCAATTAACAATAATAATACATAAAATTTAAAAACTAAACTAAAAAAAAAGTAAGTTTAAATTTATAAAAAAAATTCAATATATAAAAAGTTGAAATTTTAAAAAGGCACAATCTTAACTTACATTAACTATTTTTTATTTTTTAAAGCTGACAAGAAAAACTGGACTTTGAAAAAAAAGTTAATCATTTTGAAGTTATTTTAGTGATGAAGTTTTCAAACGTGATCTATGATTTATTGAGCAAAATTGAAGTTGTGTTGAATATAGATTTAAATATATTTTTAATTTATTTAAATATGGTTTATTTTTAGTATTTATAAAATGGATTAGTTTTAAATTTTTAACTTTTCTAGCATCTATTTTTAATCTTTGTTATTAATTATTTTAAAAATAAAAAATATTAATTAGTATACTTAAAGTAAAAAATATTTCAACTAAAGATAATTATATTTTTATAAATAATTTAATTAAATAATATATTTATTATCTAATGTGTATCAATTATATTTTGATATAATTTTTTTTGGTATATCAATTATATGAAAACAACAATGGTTAAGCAATTAATAATAATAAAACAATAAATTTAAAAACTAGATTAAAAATAAATTATTATAAAATAAAATTGTAATAATTTGATTGAAATTGTATTTTTTTATTAATTAAGTTAATGAGGAATTAAAATGTGATAATTTGATGTGTTCAATTTTTTTAATATAAATTTTTAAAATATAATTTAATTTCAATTGAAAAATATATTAAAGAATATTTGTTATTAAACTTTTTTTAAACATTGTATTGAATAGTTAGTATCACTCCAATCTTAATTTATTACAATTTAAATTTTTAATAATATTTTTATTTTAGTAATTTAAAATTAAAATTAATCTTTATTTTGTTAACATTGAGACCAAAGTTTATTTTTAAAGTATATTTTAAAAAACAAATTATTTTTAAAAAATAAATTGTAAAAAATATACTAAAACAATTAAAGTATATTTATAAAAAAATATTTAAATATAATATAAAAATAATGTTTATTAGCTATCGACTTCAATTCGGTCGCTACTTTTCCATTAGCGACCGATTTCAATTCGGTCACTATTTCAATTTGTAACGTAGTCGTTATTTCAATTTGTAATTCAATCGCTAAATGATTTTTTTAATTTTAGTATAGAATAGCAACTGATTTAACAACCGAAATTTTGCAACGCAAACTATTGGTCGCTAAATAAAAAATTGAAATCAAATCATATTTCAGTGGCAAAATCGGTCTCTAAATTGATCGCTAATTGCGACTGGAAAAATTCTATTACTAATTTTGGTCGTTAAAAGTATTTTTTCTTGTAGTTATGTACCTTTTCTTCTTGTATATTTATAACACATTCCTATGCCACATCCTCTTAGGAAAAGGGGTTCACACTCCCTCTCCTACATAAATGTTTTCATCTTATTCCTTTAAAGATTCAAACTATTCACATTCAACTTCTCATGGTCATCTTCTTCCAACTTAATCTTAAATATATTCAAACATGAAAAAATAGATAACAAATAGAAAAACCAAGATATAATTCCAATTTGTGGTGTAATAATGGAGAAGTGAACATACAAACGACAATGAAAGAAGTAAATAGAGAAACATGCACAAAACATGGGACATGAATAACTCACATGCAATGATTAGATTAATGATCAATAACTTAAATATTGCTAGCTGTTCAATATATATAAAAAAAATTGTTGTTTTCCTATCAAAACTATTACAATATTTTGTCTCTAGTAAAATTTCTTCACAAAAGTTACGTAAATACTTTATTCTAGTTTACAACAAATTTTGTAGTAAGTAGTTTGTAAAGTGTTGGTAATTATTCTAAACATATTTTGTGACGACATTTGCAATGAATAATTAATGACAAGTTTTTTTACACAAATGTTATCACTAATGTAAGTTTATAAATTTTATCATAGAATGCTAGAGTTATAAACATTTTGTCATAAAAATTGTTACAAATTAGTTTTGATGAATATTCGTCACAAATTATATATATGCCTGTCGCAAAATTCTTCATAAATTGAGACAAATTATTTTTCATCACAAACATTCTTATTTAATTTTAATTTTTTTAATAATGTGTCACATGTAAGTGCTAAATATTCTCACACTTGTATAATGTATGTTGATTAAGATAAGAACTAATTAAGAACTAAACTTATTTTATAAAAAATTATTAAATTATAAATTTAATTTTAGATATGAAGTAGACTTGTAACTAAAAAATGTTGTATGAAAAGTGACAAGTGGGTTTGGACTTGATGAGTAAACCTATCAACCTTCCTAAAATTGGTGTTAGGTTAGGTATTTTAATCGTTCATCCTATTGTACCTCTTCTCTCCAAGTTTACCAACCTGACTAATCCCTAATGAGGCATTTTTAAATATTAATATTTATGGTTTCATCTGATATATTGGTATGCATAGTGATAAACTAGGCTTGGACTTGATGGGTCAGATTAGGAATTTCAATCATTCATCTTAGTTGCCTCTTCTCACCTTGTCTATCATTCTGACCAATATTTAATGAGGTATTTTTAAATATTACTTAATGTTTATGGTTTCATTTGATACATTGGTATGGAAAGTAACAAAGTGGGTTTGGTCTTGATGAGTGAACCCATCAACATGCTCAAAATTGATGAATCGGATTAGGTATTTCAATCATTCAACTTGTTAGGTCTCTTTCCACCTAGTTTGCCAACTTGACCTACCTTTGACCAGGCATTTTTAAATATTAATTAATATTTTATAATTTCATTTGATACATTGGTATGAAAAGTTACAAAATAGACCTAGACTTGATGAAAGAACCCATTAACTTGCCCAAAATTGATGAGCTAGGTTAGGTATTTCAATCATTCATTATTTTGCACCTCTTCTAGCCTAGTTTGCCAACTTGACAAACTCCTAATGGAACATTTTTAAATATTAATTAATATTTATGGTTTCATTTGATATATTGGTATGGAGAGTGACAAAGTGGGCCTGGACTTGATTAGTGGACTCGTCACCTTGTCTAAAATTGATGGGTCGGGTTAAGTATTTCAATCATTCATCTTGTTGCGCCTCTTTTCACCTAGTTTGCCAACCTGACTAACCCTTGATGAAGCATTTTTTAATATTAATTAAAATTTATGGTTTCATTTGATACATTAATACGAAGAGTGACAGAGTGGACTTGTACTTGATAAGTGGACCCATCAACTTACCAAAAATTGATGGGTCGGGTTAGGTATTTTAACCATTCATCATCTTGCGCCTCTTCTCGCCTAGTTTGCCGGTTTAATCCGTGAGGCATTTTTAAATATTAAATAATATTTATGGTTTCATTTGATACATTGGTATAGACACCAACAAATAAGTGGACACATCAACCTGTCCAAAATTAATGGGTCGGGTTAGGTATTTCAATCGTTCATCCTGTTGCAACTCTTCTCGTCTAGTTTGTCAACCCGACCAATCTTAATAAGACATTTTTAAATATTAATTAATATTTATGGCTTCATTTGATACATTGGTATGGAGAAGGATAAAGTGGGTCTGAACTTCGTCCCTAAACCCATGAACTTACCCAAAACTGATGGGTCGGGTTAGGTATTTCAATCGTTCATCCGAGTTGCGCCTTTGTTGGCCTAGTTTGCGAATCTCACCAACCCTTGACGAGGCGTTTTTAAATCTTAATTAATATTTATGGTTTCTTTTGATACTTTAATATTAAATATTTGAATAAATAAAATTGAAAAATTAAATATATTAATATATTCACATATATTTATTATTTAACATTTATTTTGATGCAATTATTTAATATTAAAATTACAAAAAGTTAATTATTTTGATTATATAAATAAAAGTATTAATTTTAATAATTAAATTCTCATTAAATATAATTAGAAGTATTTAATTCAATTACATTTAATTAAAAGTATTTTTATTAAGTTGAACATTCGAGGAAAGATCGAGACATGTTTAAGTCTCCTTTATATATAGATAAAAAGATAGATAGATAGATGATAAGGAATAGAGTTATATAAACATGGTTCGTCTCCTCTTTATTCAAAATCTCCAAATGGTTTTTATACTATAGATTACAATGTCTTTGTATGAAAGAACAAATAAAAACCTAAGTCTGAATAGAGTTTAAGCAATCGATATTCTGAAGAGGTTGAAGAGGTATGTAATCTTAATTCTTTTATTACTTTTGATTCAAAATCTTGCCCAATTTTATTACATATAAACATAAAGAAAGTTTATTATTTATTTTCACAAACATTACTTGGATTACTTGAAAAGACTAAAAACAATTTGTGCATTTTGAAATTTTGAATTTTGTACTCTAAATTGATTTTTCTACAAATTTGTGACGGATCCATCATTATTTTGGATCAAATCTAGGAATTTCATCCTCAATTTAAATATCGAATATCTTCAACTCAATAATGAATAGGTCAATTTATAAGTATATATATATATATATATATATATATATATATATATTGGAACTTAACTCAAATTTGATAGATATATTTACTTAATAGATTTAACTTCCAATGGTTCAACTTGACTCAATTTTGACAAAAATATCTACTTTAGCCAGATTTAGGTTCACATATACCCTAAAGTTCATGTTTTTTTTTTTTTTTTTGTGTTTTTCTTAGATCTACATGAACTTGTCACAATTGAGTGGTTAGTGTAGTTTAACTTGTTCTTAAACCCCTTTATTTCTTTTTTATTTTTCTATTAGACTTTTTTTAAAACCCAATTTGTTTTATAGCTCGACTTGCTTGTACTCTTCAGCAGGAACACATAATTGTCATCAAACTCATCCGAGCCATGGAGATTAAAAAACTCAAAACAGATTATGCCTACACTGATCGAATGAATAGAGAAGACAGCCCACCATGCAAACATTTCTCTTTACGGTATGTCTTTTCTCTGTACATTTATAGTTTAATTCGTGTAATATCAAATTGCAGTTTCTTTCACTATACAGATGTAAATGTTTTATTTTTATTTTTTCTTGTGATAACATTTTGTTGCCAGGGCATCAAATTACTTTTAAAATATTTCCAGAAGAATACAGTCATTTTTTTAATTTAATAAATAACTAATTATAATAATTGAACTTTAAAAAAAATATAAAGATAAGATGAGAAACATTTTTTTAAAATTATTTTAGGAGTAATATATATATTATTGGAAAATTTGACGACTTGGAAATTTTAGCAATTTGAAGCTCACAAGGAATGAATTGATAAGTAGATGTTGCTATAAACTTCATTTTGGATAGTTGTTCTGTAGAAAAATTGTGTAAGTATATGTGGTGAAGGGTATTTATAACCATAATGTAATGTATGTGTTAGTATAATCCTAACCATATAGTTTTATGAGAAACCAAGTTGTCCTATAGTTTGTATAAGCCAAAAATACTAGAATTGATCACTACCAAAATATTGTTCCAACTTATATGTTAAAGAATTATCATATAGAAAATCAAATTATCAAAGGATAGAAATTATGCATATATATCTTAGTTATTGGTGAAAATTCTTATTAATGAATTAAGAATTAACAACAACCGTGGTTTAAATTAAGTTTACTTTAATGGGAGAAATGTAGTGAGCTCAGATTTTTAACACTTCTTTATTATTAATGCAGGGGTTATGTGGCTCAAATGCGCCAAAAAGACTTGAGAATATGTTCACCATTTGCTATAGATGGGTCTGAGACACAACCCTCACTTCCTCCACTAGCTGTGCCAAGATTCCAATCGTGGAGTTGCAATGTATGTCGAGGAGAAAGTGTATCTGATATAATTAACCAAAGGGCATGCTCCGAGGGAATTGATATCAACAATTTCATTGACTTGACTGGTGATAGTGATGACAGTGAAAGTGATGATGAAACTGCTGAGGTTGAAACCACTCGAATTACAGGTAATTTCAAAAACATCATTTGTATATGAGTGTTTTGTTTAATGTTTTAAAATCTGTGGCTTTGTCTTCGCTATTAGTTCCTCCAGGCCATCTCAATCATCAACTATCAAATCCTGTATCTTTTTTCCACCCAAAAAGAACTGCTAGATCTTTTCGTTACCCCAAAGTAAGACCTTGCCCAAGAATAAAAGATGCTGAATCTTTTTTCTTCCCAAAAACAAATGCTGGATCTTCAGAAGTGCGTCCAAGCGTCACCCAAGACATGCACAGAAACGAAAGCGGTACGTTAATGTATTCAACTGAATAAAATGTACCATAGTCTGAGGTAGCATCTTATATTGTAGTAAATTTTATGTATAATAATAATAACATTTTGATTTTGGTAATGTTAAACTCCCAACTTAGAATAAAAGGTTCCTCTATATTTTGAGACAGGTTTTGAAGGTAATGTAGCTTGTGAGTCTGAGGTGGAGCTTGTTATTAGCAATCCTAAAGGTAAAGGTAAGAGTTTTTCAGAGGTTGCTAACAAAGGGAAGCAAATTTATGAAGATAACCAAAGCCTGCAAGAATTAAGAAAATCATGTACACTTCAAGGGAATGTCATCGTGATTGCTGATGAAGAAGATGTTGAGCCTGAAGCTGAACAGTTTCCTCAAGTGCCAGTCACTGAAGATAATGTTCATGCTGAACATAGTGACAAAAATGGTGAAAGTGGAGTTGTTGTTCTGGATCATCATCAGCAGAAGAATACTGGTAATTCTTCCAAGAAATTTAAAAGGATGCGCTTGCTTAGGGAGATACTTGGAGAAGATGATGAACCGAAAACTGAGCAAATCAGAATAGAAAGAACAGCACCCCAAAATCCTTCTGTACACTCAGAGCCAGAAAAGACTATCATGAATGAGGAGGTTGGTGAAGGAGACGCAAAGAAGTTGGAAAAAAAGGGTCAACGAGGAAGGAAAAGGAAGTTAATTCTGGATGAAGATGATATACCATTAAGTATGATCTTCCCAAGGGCAGAGAATGACGCTCCAAATATGCCTACAAGTCCTTTAGCACAAGTTGCACCAAATGAAGAAGGATTGGGAGAGGGACTGCATCAGTCTTCAAATAATTCCCCTCAAACTGAAAATGAGCACACTTTGCCTATGCCTATTCAAAAAGGCCAAGGAGGTGAAACTGATTCTGATGGAGAACGAAGAAGTGCTATTTCTCGGCAAGGAAAAGGAGTTCGTATTGAAGTAAGTAACAGTACAAATCCTTTTTCTCAAATATTTTAGTCTTCCATGACCAGAAAATAGCTTATCTTTCTTGTTTTAAAATTTGTTTTTTAATATTTAGAGTATATCATTTTCATTTGATTCTAGTAACCCTACCTACAATGTTCACCTGATGAATATTTTCAGCAAGAATCAACTGGATGTTATTTGCATATTAAACTAATTTATTTGTAGATTGAACTGATTTTTCATGCAAACTGTTTGTATCTAGAGGAGTAGAAAAGAGGGGTAGATAAATAGTTCAAGAAGACATGGAGAAGTTTTATAGATACATAGTTTTTTTTAGATTGAAACAAGATAGTAAAAAAGGTTGAGGTTTACACGCGGTTAATGTAGGTGAAACCTTAAATCTAGACTTTCTTATTTTGAACAAGAATTTCTTTAGCTGACTCTTTATGTTTGAGGATTCCGTATAGCATTTAAAGGTAAGCATAGTGACGTTGCAAGTTGTATATATATATATATATATAAAGAAGATTCTTGTATAATCTTTGTGGTCTAGTTTGTCTTTTTTTATCTACAACATTAGGCAGTAGATAGATTCAAAAGTATGACTTTTGTTCATTAAAAATTTGATCTTAATATGTCTTAGTTAGATATTTAGACAATTGTTAAGTATATAGACAACGTTCTAATAATTTGTTTTTGTCTAAAAAGTTTTAGGGAAATCCTTTTTCTTTAGCATTATAATGATGTCTATGAGTGTGTATTTTTTTCACTATGCATAGGAGAATACAAGATTGTAAGTTGTTACTAAATTTCTTCATTTTTGTTAAACTTAAAAAAAAATTGAGTTATATTATATGTCTCGATCACTTTAAAGACTATTATACCTTTTCTCACTTTATTTTTCGAGAAGAGTTTTGAATTTTTTAATAATTTTTCACATACTTAATCATTTTTACATTATTATTATTATTATTATTATTATTATTATTATTATTATTATTATTATTATTATTATTATTATTATTATTATTATATAGCAGATTATATGCATAGAGATCTTGGGATGCCATAGTTGCGAATCATCAACTTTCACTTCCATTTAATAGTATACTCAAATCTTATCAAAAAAATTATTATTTCCTTTCCCCATTTGGGCATTCTCTTACTTTATGTTAACATAGATTATATTTGTTTTCTTTCAAAGTGTACACCATAACTTTTCTCCATTGTTTAGCCAATATTCAAGAGAATTTTATTTTTTATTGAAATGTATTTTGAACATAGTCTTCTCACAATTTTTTAAATCTTTAATTATATATTTCAAGAGAACTTATTAGGTTTATCACCTATAAAATGTATATATCCAATGTTTGGTAAATAGTAATCATGATTATTACATATTTATACAAAATAGAAACTAAAATATTTTCACATTTTTCTTATCAAAAATATTTTTCCTTGTCTCCTTTAATTAACTATTTCTATTATCCTAAAAGAAAAGTATTTGACTAAAATTTCTTCATATATTAATTTAAACTCATCTTTTAGAGTTTGAAATTTAAAAGAGTATACTACTCTTCCTTAAAATTTCTCTTATAATAGCCTCTATGTTGTGATCTTTATTATTCATGAAACACTCACATCGATTATGGTTTGTAATTGAAAAACTAGAGCCCTTAAGTGCCTCGAGGAATAGCCAACTTTTCTTCCATAACTTATATAAATTTTAGGAAAAAAATATTATTTTAATACTGAAAAGTCATAATTTTTTCCTCAGGACACAGTTCAGATGAAAATTGACTTTAATATAGAATAGAGTTGAATTTTTGTAGACATAGTTTAATATATATATATATATATATATATATATATATATATATATATATATATATATATATATATATATATATATGCCGTAGATAACTCAACAGTTCTATCACCACTATTAATACTTAGAGGAATAGAAAGGAAGATTAGTTGAATAGTTGAAGAGGACACTTAGGAGGTTAATAGGTGCACTTTTTGCTTTTTTGAATGTAATCGACAATGAGATAGTCATATAGGTTGAGGATGAAAGTTATAAGGAGACACCGAAAACCTAGTCAAGTTTAGATGTTTGTTAATAACTAATCAACTTTGCCGGATAGAGAAGAAAATGTTTTAATATATATACATGCAGACTTGGTAGCTATTATGAAAATGAAGCTGTTATTGTTACCTGTGAAATTTCCATTACGAAGCACATCAGTGCCGATGAAATTAAAGCTGTTACCATCTTCTTGCAGGAAATTGATGAGGCCACGAGGAAACAAAATGAACTGGTTGCTTTAGAGGCGTTGCTGCAGATATGTCAAAACCACGTGGCAAATGTAGAGCCTGAGCCACAGATTAAGCAGTTGAAGGGAATGGATTTTGATCTGAACGTCCCATATAACGATCATCGTACTGACCGAGTGATGATAAAGGGAAAGACTGGTCGTGGAGTATCAATTGACTTGAATGCTGATGCCACAGCAGGAAGCAGTGATCCAACTTCCAAGATGCTTAATCCAGGTGGATGTTCAAAGACCAAGATGGACATAATTGGTTCATCATCTAAGACCAATGGTTCCCTGAAAGGTAAGTTGTCTGAAAAATCACATGCCCTTGCAATCTATGGTAGAAACACAAATGGCCCTTCTGCAGGTGGCTGGCTTGATCCAGAGGAAGAAGAAGAAACTCCAACACAGGGCTGTGATGGTACTCGTGCAAGTCCAGTGTCCCTGAACAATAATATCTCTGAAAGGTTTTGTGGGACGAACAGAAACCCAGCTGATTTCACTCCAATAGAACCAGGGAATCCATACATGAGGAAGAAAAAAGATGAAGTGCGAAAGAGGGTTACTGAGGAAAAACGCTGCGGCTCATCCTCCAAGCAGAACAAGAAGCCAAAGAAGCCCTAGCTGAAGTGGAACCATTATTCCTCATTCTCGTTGCTTTATTTCCTAGACCTTTTCCATCAGATTTGCATGTTGAACTTAATTTAGAATCGCTTATGACTTTTTACTTTCCGCATAGAACCTTATAATTTCTCTTGGAAACTTAAAGTTTTTCATCGTCTGGATTGATGACTGAGACTCTCTGAGGAGTAGGCAGCATGACATGTTCTAAACAGTGTCTGCATAATTCATAACTTCTCAAAATATTTCCTTTGCTTGACATGAAAGTTTCTTTTAAATTTTGATGCCCGTTTGCATGCAATTAGCATCAAGAGATGATAAAGTTTCTTTATCATGGAAGATAGAATATGTCAGTCAATTATTTGTCATGTGTGTGGTTTGGTTAGAATTCGTAAGTTTTCCGATGAAATATATAATTTGTTGCTGGGATGATGGCAAAGTTTTCTCTAATGAGTTGAAAAGTATGAGATTTAATTGTAAAGAAATTAGGAAGATGGTTGTGGTATTTTATGAGATTTTAAGATGGAAAAATAAATAATTTCTTGTATGCATAAATATTTTTAAACAAAAATATAAATAAGTACTTTCTTTTAAAAATAATATATTTTATTATATTAATAAATACCATAGTTTTAATCAATTTTGAAAAGATATACAACTTTTTCATTCGCTTTATTCTTCGATTACTTTCTATTATTCAACTTACTTTCTTTCCTTTCCTAAATAACACACAAATACATAATTTTCGTGAATTTTTTTAATTAAAAAATTACTCAAATAAAACACTAAAGTCAAATAGGTTCGGTTTTGTTTCGTTTAATTTGACTTTTAAATTTGAATTAAAATACACCAAATTAATAATTTGTGTTAGATTTGGAATTTTTTATTATAAAATTGTTAAGTAGTTTTTTATAAAATAATTATTAAATATATTCTTAGATAAAAAAATTATGAAGCAAAAGTTGTCAAATAAATGTTCTGAAATTATTTGTGTATAATTTGTATCATATTTATAACAACGTTTTATATATTCATGAATAAACTAATTATCTTATAGTTTAAATACAATATAAATTTAATATTATGTTTCGATCGATAAATATAAATATATTAAGTACAATATAACAAAATAATATCCAGAATCACATTTTATGTATGTTTATTAATTTTTAATTAACTTTAAACAAATAAATAAAACAAGTTGTTTTAGTTTTTGAAATGAAAAATGAACGGTTAAAGAAAATTAAATCTATAAAATTAAAAATATATTTGAAACAGTTTTAAGTTTGTGTGTGTGTGTGTGTGAAAATAATTAATAACAATTTTTTTTCTTAATCTCTTATAAAAAAAAAAAGTTTACACAAATTTTAGAAAATCGTCACAATGGGTAATAATAATTTTTTATGGGGCAATAATAAAATTTATAAAATCTGGTAATGTAAAAATTAAATTATTGTAAGGGTAATTGACCCAGAAATATGCATGTGGATCTGTCACCCCACACACAAATGTATACGTAACATGATCACTTAAAAGAAAATGAAGAAAATTATATATATATATATATATATATATATATATATATATATATATATATATATATATATATATATACACAAATGACTTAAATGGACATAAATTACTTTGGGTAAAATCTGAAAACTCTTTTACTTGATGCTCTAACAAAACATATTAAAGCTAAAAAAGATCTTGACCTATTGATACTTTTGATTTTACAATGTTGATCAATTATTATGAATAACTGTTGGTTAAATTTTGAATATTAATTTTAAGGTTATGGATTTAATTGATTATCTGATATCTTTGTCTTTCTACTTTAATTTTTTTTTTTTAACTATACCTACACAAACATATTATCATAAAATAAAGCATATTTAATATTACATGATAAAAAGTTCATACAAATTTTTTTATTTATTTAATAAATATTCTCAGAAGGTGAAAACATATTCCTAATTGGTTTTATTCTCTTCATGGATATAATAGCTTTAAAATATTTTATTTATTTAATAAACACGAGCATGAAATATTATTTTCAATAGTTCATGAATTAGAAATAAAAGCTCGTTTTCTATATGTGAATAAACATTATTTTAACGCATTTCGTAAAACTTTAACAACATTTTTTTCTAATTCGAGTCAAAATTTATATTTGAAATTCTTCTGAAAGAAAATTAATCTGTTAATAAATAAAACATGTGATTGAATATATTTTATTAATCTGTTAATAAATTAATCTGTTAATATAAATAACAACTTTGTTATAAGTTTGACTAAATTATCAATTATCAATTGCTTTCATCTTTTAAAAACAAAATAACTCAATTAATAATCTAAATATATTTTATTATGGTATCCTCATGAGTTCTACATTATTTAGAAATTAAGATCAATAATAGTTTATATATATATATATATATATATATATATATTTTCTTCTTAACCTACCGAAACATTTTATAAGGATAAAACTGTAACGGACTAGAATTCTAAAACGAACAATACCTCAAAAATGTGAATTAACCCTAGTGATGTTATCATAGCATATTAGGTTAAGACATCTCGTTCTTAGACAGAACATTAACGTTCACCATGAGGCCAAGAGCAGAATCTCGCTCTACTCATATATATCCCTTAGTCCTCAACTAGAGGACTATGTTCTGGTACGCTCATGAGTCTCACATTGTTTAGGAATCAATGCTAAGGGTAGTATTCTCTTTTAACCCACCGAGGTGCCTTTTTAAAAGCAAAATCATGACGGACTAAAACTTCAAAGTAGATAATACATCGAATATAAAAATTAGTTATAATGTTATCATAGCGAATATGAAGTCGGGACACTCTCATTCCTAGATGGAACATTGTTTGTGTACCTAACCGGTCCCAAAACAACTTAATATCATAATTGTTGAGATTCTCGGTCCAAATATCTCAACAATATTTGAGCATCTCGACAATCCCCAGATATTCAAATACCAACTCATCCCGATATACTCGAAAACCATCCGAAATGCTCGCTAACAAACTGGGATAAAATATTTCATATTTTTCGGGTAGTTATAATATCTCACTCCTATATAAATAGGTTTAGTATCACATTCATTTTACTGATTCACATTCCACTTTTCTATTCTCATTCACATATTTACTTAAGCACTGGAGAGTCTTTTATACGCACCTCTCCCATTCTGTCTATACTTGCACAACCCACTAGAGAGAAGCATAGACGCCCTCTTCAAATTCAGATAAACAACATTTGACGTCTACCGTGGGACAAAGTAAAACTCCTTCCATGCTTACCTAAAGGTTAGATGGCAAAGCATCCATCCTTTCTCACACATCATGGACCCAACAACACTTCTCGAAAGTCTCAAAGTCCACATGGCCGAGCTACAACAACAAACTAATGAAGAAATTAGAGCTCCAAGAGAAAAAAGTTGATCAAGATTGGAAGCAACAACAAGAAGAGCTAACAACCTTGCATGACAGAATTAACGAGGATGGTACAAAAGAACAAGTCGATGTGGTAGCCACGACAGAATCTTGCTCTCATTCCAAAAACCTTAAGCCAAAGAAGCTCAACGATCAACAAAAGTCCAAAACTGAGCCGCAAAAGACAAATGCTAAAAAGGAAGCCAAGTAAAACAAAATTGAAAAGGAAGGTGAGTCGGTTAAGTTAACTCGAATTCTGATACAAACTCAGGCAAAATATGAGCACCTATTTGCACTGAGAGTGCTCGACGAACCTCTTCCTCAAAACTGACGTATATCACCAATCAACTCCTATAGTAGAACCTCGAACCTCGAGGAGCATATATGATCTTACCTCACACATAGAAATATAATTATCCAAAGACTCCTTCAAATGTCATATTTTTCCAACCACACTCAAGGGCATTACGCTCCAATGGTATTATGAGTTGCCAAAATGATCCATCACTTGTTTTGAAGACTTAGCAAACAAATTGAGAGCTTAATTCGCCACAAGCCGACCTCATATGGTTGACTCAACAACCTTAAAAAAATATTAGGCAAGGAAAGAAGGACTCGCTACCAAAGTTTTTAGAGAGGTTTGTAGTAACCAGTTTCACCATATCTGGCTTAGAATTGGCCATCGCAATACACACCATGATGATTGGACTTCGAACCGGGCCATCTTTAGACAACTTATACCTTGACAAACTAAAAGACATTGACGAGTCAAGAACACGAGCCTCAAACTACATCCAATTAGAAGAAAGCACCAAGTTCTAACGAAGAAGACAAGTTTGTTATGGCAACTACACACCACTAAATATATTTTGTGAGGTCATCTTACTAGAAGCATGCAACTTTGAGCTAATGTCCCTACCTTAACAAGTCTTTACAACACCAAATGCATATCGGACAAAAAGATGCGCTTATCAACAAAACTATGGCCACAACATGAAAGACTGCTCAAATTTACAAGACATAATTAAGGATCTAATACAATCTAGGAAATTAGCCTAGTATGTCTTGATCACTAATAGAAGAGGACGTGGGGGCTATCGAGGCTGGGGACATGGATACCATGGTTGTGGACGAGGATATTACCAATAAGAAGGTAGTTAACCCACAATGGTTAATGGATCGAATATTCAAAAACTCATTGGGGAGGTTGTAGAAGTTTATGTAGACAACATGGTGGTCAAGTCAAAACATCAAGTCGACCACCCCACTCACTTACAAAGGGTATTTAATAATAAATGTTATACTGGTCAACATTTCTTAAACTAGGAATATCACATGACCTGATACGTCCATACTCTGACACTTTGCTTAGTTTTGCAGGGGAGCGAGTCCACACCTGAGGCTACCTAGATCTATTAATCACCTTTGAAACCATGGAACCACAATTCAACGTATCCTCTCGGTGTGATTCATATTGGTGGAGGCGAACACCCTGTACAACTTAATAATCGAAAGACAAACATGATAAGTGTTAGATTTTCATGTCTTTACCTTTAATTATGACACTTATTCTATGCAATTATTTAGATTTTAGCTATAAAACTCTCATTTACCTTAAACTATGTATATTTTGAGTTGCAAGAGTTGATAGATAAATTAATGCAAGTATTTGTTAGTTGCGGAAGAATTCAAGAGATTACAATATTTCATAAGTCAAAGCACTCAGCGATTTTCAAAGGAGACTGAGAAGGAGTACTCCCCTCAATCCGCTAAGTGGATTTGAGGTAGGTAGGAACATTCCAGGGTGAGCAAAAGTGTTGAGCGAACAGTGGAATCGCTGAGTGGATTCAGGATAAAGAGACTACTTCTTAGAAGGGTAAAAGGCTAAGCGAATGTGAAAGTGTTAAACGAATCAAAGTACTTCGTGGTAAAGAAACCTCAATTCGCTAAGCGAATTTCACATCACCAAGAAGATGAATAAAAATGTTGTGAGCTCCCTTCGGTATAAATAGAAAGTTTGAAGAAAAAGAGAGGAGAATAGATAAAGGGAAAAAAAGGCGAAATCTTGAGAGCCAGACTCTAGGAACAAAAGTTGGAAAACTTAGAGCTGACTTTCTTGTATAATAGGATCCTTCTTGATGGAAATAATATCCTCCTTCCACCAAAGAGACGCCCAAGTTTGCACCTCAAGCTCTTAAGTGACTGAAAATTATTTCCCAAGTTTCAAAAGAAGACTTAGCACTAGCTCCTCCAAGGAAGGTTCCTTGTTTAGGAGATAAGGAAAAGAAAATCTCCAAAGGACACTTGAAGTCAATCCAAAATGGGGTACAAGAAAAATTGCAAGTTCCACACACTAAGCTTGAATTTCACTCAAATGTGATTCAAAAAGTTACACAAGGGGTCATATATATAGTTGTTCCCTTCTCATTCACTCACTCACCTAAGGAATGTGGGGCTAATTTTGCCTTATACAAGTGATGACCGAAGTTCCTAGCTTCAAGTTCCACCTAGACCACTTTTAATTACATTTATGAGTTTATATGCCAAAAAACTCTCAAATGTTGCAACCATGAGTTGCAACTTGGACCTCCTTGAGTGTTTGGAGTGCTTTGGCCGAATTTGAGAAGCTAAAATGAAGTATTCCCTTTTTGTTGCAGCTAAGACTTGAACCTTAAGTGCAACCCATTCAAGTTTTTGGCCTTATTTAAAGCCTAGTGTGTTGAAGTCCAGTGTGGTGATACCCAATGTGTTATAGCCCAGATGATCCTCCATCAGACCCTTCCTCTTGAGAAGGATCTGACCTCAGATCCAAATCTTCCCTGTAAAAGAAAACAATTTATTTAAAAGTGGGAGATCTAATCTAGTTATTTATTAAAAGTGAGAGATATAATCTAGGTATAATACAAGGACTGAGACTCTCCTTGATCCCAACCCTTCTTCAGCAAGTCACTTACTTAATTTTCTATCTCAAGGGGTTCATTCAGTGTTCTATTCCTTAAAAGTGGAAGTTCATAAGGTACTTCTTTAGGAAATAGATCATTATTCTCAAAATTATGTTATACCCCGTGCGGTAGAAAATTTAGTTTGTGACTTGTGGCAGCAAGTATCCTTTTTATGAGAGAAGGAAAAGAGGTTGTTCAAACTTTAGAGGAGAAATTTATTCTTGAAAAGTTTTTTTTGTTGAACAACTCTTTCGGAGGGGACAAAAAACTCCTAAACCCTATTTATTCTCAATTCAATTTTTATTTAAAATATAATGTTTTTGTCTTCACTTTTTTTCTCCCTTACAATTTTATTTTTAATTTTTATTTGATCCTCCCTCACTTGTTGAGGTGTGAGAGGACACAAAATTATTTTTCTGTCGTTGTGAAGGAAACTTATCTTGTTGGTGTGCCCATCATGGATAGTTTGTCTATCATGTTGCCATGGCCTACCAAGTAGGATATGCCCTGCATCCATAGAAACTACATCGCACAAAATATTTTCTTTGTAAGTTCCTATAGATATTGGTATATCTACTTGTTTATTAACTACTATACCAACATTTTCATTGAGTTATTGGAGTTTGTAAGGTTTTGGATGGGATGTAGTAGTTAGGGCTAACTTGTCCACCAACCTAGAACTACAACAATTACAACAAGAATCACTATCCACAATTAAAGAACAAGTGTTTTTGAAAACTTCACATCTTGTGTGCAATAAGTTTTCTCATTGTGATTCTTCTAGCTCATAATGTTGCTTTCAAGAAGCCTCCTCACCACAAGTAATTCTCCTTCACAAGAGAGAATTTCTTCCTCGGAGTTTAAAACTTCTTCTTCACTTGGTGAAGAGTGAGTTTCATCCTCACTTACGATCTTTTGGTCTTTTAAAAATATAATTTTTTTATTGGGACACTCAGAAGTATAGTACCCTACCAAGACATCGAAAGCATTGAATGTCTCTAGTCCTAAGCCCTTCGGAAGGTTCTTTATTTTTATATTTTTCTTTTTGTGACTCTTCAACCTTAGATTTGGAGGGGTACCCTCCCTTTTGTATTCCTCATTAAGGGTACAGGTGGTAGAATAGTCTCTCCTATTGGAATATTTTCTCTTCATTTGTTGTTCTACTTTTACACATAGTTGAACTAATTCATTTAAATCATTATAAGGTAGTAGTTCAACTTTATCCCTAATGTCTAGGTTAAGGTTACTCTGGAACCTAGCAACTGTGACTCTTGACTCTTCCCTAGTCCTCGCCCTCATCATTAGGAGTTCCATTTTTTGCCTATACTCCTTTACTGACATTTTTTTTTGTTAGAGTCTTTAGAGCTTGTCCATTAACTCCTTATCATAGTATGAGGGTACATGCCTTTTGCTAAGGGCACTCCTTAATTCATTCCAATATCGGACTTGGGGTTCATGATGTATTCTTCTCTCTCTCACTAGGGAAGTCCACCAATGTAAAGCATGACCTTAAAAGCTAAAGGTTGTCATGGGCACCCTTCTTTCTTCATTAATTTTATGGCACTCAAATAGTTGTTCTACCTTCATCTCTCAATCTAAATATTTTTCAAATTATCCTTGCCATGGAAGGGAGGAAGGTCTACCTTAGGTTCCTTATGATGATCCACTCAAGGTCTATGTCGCCTAGGTGGTGAGGATTGATAGTAATCATCATTGTGATTACTATAATCCTCCACATGTGAGTGGAGTTCCTCATGGTGTTCTTGTCTTCTCCTATAATCCTCACTTCTATTTCTATTTTTGTTTTTATCATTTAAAAGTTGGGCAAACATAACCCTTATTTCCTTATCTCTTTTTTCAATTTTCTCTTCTAAAGTTTTAAGTTTGTCCTTAACGAAAGAGTGTTCCCTAGATCTACGGTAGCTCCAACCCACACTAGAATGACTTGAAGGTGCATGGGAATAGTCAGTCATTTTTATTTAAGAAAGATTTTCACAATAATTTGAAAAATTGTTTTTAACAAAAGTGAAGTAACAAAGGCTTTCACAAAAGAAGTTTTTCAAGTAAACTAGACGAACCCTAGGGTGAAAGTCCAACTGACACTTAAAGAGCCTCTTGGGACACTTTCATAAGACTAAAATGTGTACTATTATAATGTTTAAGATGAGAGATAGGATTGTACCGAAGACATTTTCCCAAGACACCCACAAAAGCAAAATTTACAATAAGAAATATAAAAACAACAAAATCTCTCACAAAATTACAAGAAATATTTTAGCAATGGAAATTTTTGTAGTAATGCTTTTTCTGACAAAAATTTCGCTGCAAGACTTATTTTGTGACGGAAATTGATGAATTTTTCCACCACTACTTTAGGATTCCTCACTTGGTCAAATGTTTCACTCTTCTTGTACCCCAATTCTTGCTTCCCAAGCTTTCTTGAAGAACACCTTCTCCTTTCTTCTTAACAACACCTAAGATGCTACCTTGAAGAAGAAGTGAGTTTCCAAGAAACAAAGAAAAGTAAAATGGTTATATTGTTTCTTTGAGTGCTCAAGATGCAAGAATAAAAAATATAAGAAAAGGTCAAATAAGAATTGGACACAATCAAGTGATTAGAATTATTATTTGACAAACTTAAGAAATTCAAAAAAAGACAAGAAGAAAATTGGGCAAATTTTAAAAGAAGGCACTCACAAGAAGCCTAAGAATAGATCTATAATGGATTACAAAAATAAAACACTCAAGTTGAGTCACTTATAAGACCCAATTTAAGCTTGATCGAATCCTAAGCCTCTTTTAATACATGCAATTTTCAATTTCACTATTCTCTTAAGGGGTGTGAGACTTAATCAAGAGTTACAAACATATCTTTCAAACTTTATTTTGATTAAGTCTCGGCTTTTCTCTTTTAATTTATTTTCTTTTCAACTTCACAATTTCAATTGTTTTTGTTCTTATGAGACTTAAATTTTTTTTCACTAATTCATTTTCAATTCAAATTGCATGGTATTATTTTCACATAAGTCTGAACATTGTCATGGCATATTATCAACAATTGATTCAACTTGCAAAATTCAAAATAAGTCTAGACTAGTCTCAGTTTGTACAAGCATTTTTATGTTTAGAATTTTGTCAATGATCTAATAGCAAAAGAATACTCAAATGGACAAACCACACATACACATAATTGGTTTGGTTCCTAGATAAACATGGTTTCAAATTTTTTCAACAATTTTTTTTTCTAACATATGTGGGACAACTTCTATGGAATTATGAATATATAAGGACTAAACATGACTATCTAATACAACATGGAAGATTATAAAATTGAAAGCTAAGTAAAAAAAAATTCTATGGTTACTTATACAACATATGAAGAACTTCCTAAACATACAATTGATTCATGAAATGAACTAAGCAATGAATCAATTACAAGAGAAATATTAAAGAAGCAAAAAATCAACTACATATAACTCAAAAGACTCAAGCAAGTACATACAAGACGAAAATTCAAAGACAAGAAAAATGAAAAAATGAAGGTACTTATCTCTTGAAGACCTCCATGCCTAGCTCATGATACCAAATTGATGGAAATAATCTCCTTCTCCCACCAAAGAGACGCCCAAGTCTGTACCTCAAGCTCTCAAGTGACCAAAAATTGTTCCCCAAGACTCAAAATAAAACTTGGCACTAGCTCCTCCAAGGAAGGTTCCTTGTTTAGGAGATAAGGAGAAGAAAATCTCCAAAGGACGGTACAAGCAAAATTGCAAATTCCACATGCTAAGTCTGACACCTTTAATA